TAATATTGGTCGTGAAAGCCTACGTGTTAAACTAATTTCACTACATTGGCATAATGCACAAAATGCTAATATTTATAGAATATGGTACATCATTTCTGTACACACATTTGCTCAATATTAAAAACAGGGTGTGCCATTTTACAAAACTTGGCTCTTTTTGTAGACACCGCATCTTTAATAATAAGTTATGGTCACAGGTATAGCAACGCCATACTATAAGCAGACATACAAACACGCAGAATTGTATAAAGCATGTTCTGTATTTGCTTATGAACACAATAGTCAATCGATTTCTGCAAACTCTGCTGACAAAAGGCCTCCTTGGTAGGCTACACCATTTGGTGGTGTTCGTCCCAATGGAACTAGTGATGGAATTACCCTACTAAACAATACACGATCCACAATTGCACTAGAAATCAACATAATAAGCATCTAAATGCAGTCTGGTCAGAACAGGAGAGCGTTGGCGCAGTGGTTAGTACACTGCACTCCAAACCCAGTGCCCCGAGTTTGATTGCCCGCGTCGGCTAATGTCTGCGGCGTGTGATATCTGAACCGCTCCTGGGCCTCACTTCACCAATCCGCACTTACCGGAATGGTGAAGTATGGTCAAACAACCCCCATGACCGATGCAGTGTGGGAAGATCTTCATCCAGCAGTGGACTTACAAAGGGCTGTAAATTATTTTATAAGAGCTATTTGACCATACTTAACCACACGTTGGTCAGTTCGGGTTGGAGAATATGTTGGAGCATAGAAATGCAATAAAACAATGGATTCGGCTTCATTGCCCTCTGCTGACAATGCAGCTCTGAGCTACCTATTGCATCAGTTTTGTGCATTCTGGCCACCCATCAAAGCACTAGCCAGCATCAAGTCTGCTTAGCTTCTGATAGATCTTGAGGTCTGGCACATTTACGGTGCATTTGTCATAAGTAAATATTGCTATAGTATTTTCATTATGAGACCTCCTTTGCCAGAAACAAGATATAGGAATAGGTTTTACCCTTTTAACTGGCACAAAAACTGACACCTTTATTCAAGGCATCATGTTTGCAAAAACCACAACACAAGCAGTCAGAACGCCAAAAGGCGTACGCCAAAAGGCGTACGCCTTTTGGCGTCTTCTGGTCCAACACCAATGGAGACTAGGCTCTAAGAAAAGCTGTCTCGGGTGTGGACCAATCAAATTCAAGGACAGTGCATATTATCAGAGTTGTCTTTTTTGTTTGCATTCTGACTGCTTGTGTTGTGGTTTTTGCAAACATGATGCCTTGAATAAAGGTGTCAGTTTTTGTGCCAGTTAAAAGGGTAAAACCTATTCCTATTGCTATAGTATATTGTAATATATATTGAAATGTGCAATATTCTTCCCTATTTAAAAAAAATCTATGTAGGTATCAATGGGATTCCAACCAGTTAAAATACATTACCTTTATTTCCTAGTAGTGTTTAAACATATATGTATTTATCCACTCGCTTGCAGTCAGAAACGGAATCCATGCAATGAATTTATAAAAATAAATCAATTTACATATTTATGGATAGGCTAAAACCCATTGAGACATCTATTGAGGTATATTCTTCAATGGGTGAGACATTATCTTCAATAGAGTGCAAGCGAGCTGCTGCAGTGTGTGAATGAGGGGGTGAGAGCAGAATGAATGAGAGGGTGATTGTGAAAATGAGTCAATGAATACGACAGTGTGACAGACAATATAGCAAATGAGAGGATAATGAGCGAATGAATGTGTACGTGGGTGAGATGAATGAGATGAATGTGGGTGAGATGAATGAGGATGAGTGGGTATTGAAATTAATGCGTGAATGTGATGGTGATTGACATATTAATTGAGTTATTAAAAGGGGGAGTGGGTGGATGAGACAGAAATGAGTGCGAGTGAGCAAGCGAGCCTGCGATTGAATTAGTGGAAAAATGAACTATCAAGTGCGTGAATATTAAAGCGAGTGAATAAGTGATTGAGTAAATTAAAGGGTCAATTTGCGAGCAGCTAGTGAATGAGAAGGTGGGTCTGTGGGTGAGCCAGTCAATGAATAAAGTGAGTAAATTAGTTATGGGTGAATGAATAAGTCTATGGTTTGGAAGGTGGATGAATGGACGAGTTGCTTGAGTGAGCTGCAGTCCTCACCTCCTCGACCGTAAGAGGCATGCAGATGCGGTATTCCTTCACGAGCATCGCGGCTCGCGCCCTTTGCACTGGGCCCAGTCCTTGCTCGGGTCCCACACAGAAGCTCTACGGACACAGGGACTTATCAACACAGCACTCACGACGTGCAGCGGCCACGGAACACCGCACTGCCTATCCACGCTACAATGTGTGGTGCTACTCAACAAAATGTGGTCTTGTGATTGTACAAGGACATGAAGTGCCCTGTGTTAATCCACTGCTGGATTGGGTCCTCCGCAGGCCATATGGGTCGTGGTCATTAATTGACTACACTTCACCATGCTGGTCAGTGGGGGGAGGGAATGGTGAATGTGGGGAGCATAGAAAGCGGAGCATATAATTTCAGTTGATTGGACAGTTGCAATGGGCTCTGCTGCTCACAACTTAGCCCTGAAGCCTATAACACATGTTATGCATGGTGGTCGCCAATCGGATGTGCAACATATTTTAATATTTGTTCTAGCAAATCCCTAAGCTTGAGTATTTTATGAACACTAATATTTGACATTTGCAATGGACACCTACGGGCTATCTGCCTATGGATAGTGATGATGGTTTGAGATAAGCATATATATGTTTTTATGACGCCTATCAATCTATAATTCTATACAATTCAATACATCATGGGGCGAGCGGTGGCATAGTGGATAGCTCACCACACCCTTAGAACCGGAGACCCGAATTCGATTCCCGACCACGCGTAACATCAGTGGCGCGTGCGCCAACGTCCAGTATTGGCAAACAACCCATGTGGCCGACATAGCATCGGAAGGGCCTTCATCCAGCATTGGCTTAACACAGGTATGAAAGTAATCATTTTGTTTAAACACAGGTAGGAAAGTAATCATTTTGTTTAAATGTAAGGAGACTAAAGTGTTGTAAGTGTAAATATATTTTTCAGCACCATTCTTCACCACATAGCCTAGTGCGAGTTCTAGCGAGGTGGGGCCCAAAACTGGTTTTAATAAATTGCTCAACACTGATGCGAGCCGTGACCGTGAATTAAACTGTATATTTTAATGTATTTAATCACTCTGGTATTTTGGTAAATACGTTCATGTGATGCAAATAATTACAGTGACGGAACACTGTCGGTCTCGATTGTACGCAACTCCTAAGCAAGCAAACCATCTTTAACGCGGGGTTTCTGGCATCATTTCTACAACTGTCCAGTTTACACGAGAACGCATACACCGCGTGTGCGTGTCGTCGACTTGCAACACGCTGGGGTGGAATGGTGGCACAAGTGGTTCGCGTACTGCACTGAAAACCAGGCAACTAGAGTTCGAATCTCGAACGCGGCACCTCCGATTTGCACGGTTGGCTACATACGGTGAGAAAGAAATTCAACATACATACACCAACCCACAATGACAAGCGTGATTAAGTATGGTCAAAAACTACCATGGCCGATACGGTGTGGAGAGGACTTCATCCAGCGATAGAATGACAAGGGCTGTGCATTATGCATTAAACGCATGTCACGGTAATTCTATTTCTGACATTACCAATGTATACATTTGTGCCTCGGTGCGCAATTATTTGGTGCTGGATGTAATGTTGTCATTTGAGTTCCATCGGTCACGCAGGGGACCAAAGTACAATGTATGCAGCCATTCGCTCAACAGAGCGGCAATCACAGCCGCTTTTCGCTCAGATATAAATTATCTGCAGAGTTCGATTAGCGCCATCGAGGCTTCGTTAACAAATGTGTCTCTACAATAGCAAACAAGGATTTCGTTTTGCGAGTCTCACTGTTTATTTCCCCTCTGGTGTAAACGGGAAAATACTAAATAATGTGAGTACAAGCATTTTGATCATATCCGGAGCGTAATCCATTTCACAGATGCACTTTGAAGCCCACGTTTCACAACACTGCGATTACAATTGTTTACTAACATACGCTGGCGGTTAAACACGCGTATTTATGTCAATACCAAACAACAACACTGCAAACTAATGATTGCTCGTATAATTGCAGTACGTACCTGTCAAATCACTCGCATGTCCAAATGAGGATGTGGTCGCCTTGTTTCTTAAACACGCCTTGCAGAATCCGTCATTAAATGAATATCAACGATAAGCAAAGCTTCGCTCACAACTCCTTCAAAGTGTGCTTAAATCTTACTCGTTTACAAACATCTTACTCCTTTACAAACAAAACGCAAAAAACAATAATTATTCATTCACAATGTATTGGTGTAACTGTAACCGCTCTTAATCATATGCTCTGTCGTGTTATTTACCCTAAAACGGTGCAATTCGTTGACTACTCTGCAGCTGTACCCCCTATATCTGCCCGCCCTATAACTATAATTTACCCTATGTACACTACTAATTACACAAAATAGCTGTGCCACCCAAAAGCTGTGTGCTTATCCTCAAACGGTGCAACTCCAATACCCCACTAATATCCCCAACAACTGTGCAACTCATAAACACTAATCGAGCTATGCGTGTCAACCTCGATGCTTGCCACAAGGCACTACGGCGGAGCCAACATGTGCTCGGGCATTTAAACATTCAGCGCCACGTGACTCGTCCCCCACTCACTCTCTCATAGGTGTCCGCGGCGCGCCTGTTTGCCCGGCTGAATTATAATATTAGGGTCGAAGGACCCCATCCCCCCAGAGCACCGCCCCTATCCCCACCCACAGCCCAACGCCTCCGCCCCTCAAAATACGCTCTTAGATTTACCGAAGCGCATGCGCATCGGGATGCCAGCGGACGTGTACATGATTGGTCTATAGTGGGGGATAGGCGGGAGGGGCGTAACCACGTGAGCGGGTCGGACCAATGGGACACGCCCGGGGTCGCGTGAGCGCGCTTGGAAATACAATCGCGGAGTTCGCTGTGAGTTGCTGAGTAATGTCGCTCGCTATGGCGGACAGCGGGGATGGCAAGATCGTTAAGATGGAGGTGGACTACAGTCCCGTGGTGGACCAGAGGCTGCCCGAATCTCGAAAGATGGCTGAGGTGTGTCACTCTTCTGTTCGCCAGCGCAGTCGCCGTGTTGGGTTGGTCGCGTGTTCTTGAATGGGTGAGGTTAGGCCTCTTCGTGGCTTGTGAACTTACCCTGCCGAGGAGGGTGGTGCTTGGGACGGCAGTGATTGGTGGGCCGAGGCGGGTGAAGAAGCCGGGAGATGCCAATTGACGAGCTCTTGAGAAATGTGACTCCCTTTCGCATAAAACCGTGTCAACATGGGCAGTCTTGCACAAACTAGAGCCCATCGAGAATGTAATGCACTGTAGGCCTAGGATGACGAAGTATGGTCAGATAAAACCACAGTTCACGGCGTGGGAGGCCCTCATCCAGCAGTGAATTGACAAACGCGCTGCACGTGTTAGGAAATGAAGAGACAGACACTTGAGAGGCATATCGAAGACAGACTGACGGCGATAGATACGGACACCGACAAGTCGACACAGAGTGACCGAGAGACACTGAAAAAGACATGTACAGATACACTGAGAGACAAATACAGGGACACGGGTATAGACGAATAGAGATAAAGAGTGAAACGACAAAGACAAACAAGAACATACTCTGAGGCCGAGTAGAACATCTGTATTTTACCATACGGCCCTTAACCTCATGCTGGGTAAACACTCCTGCGCCTTGAGTGACTAGGCACACGTGTGGTGGTTCACGCTGATAGAGTAACGGGTTAGATTGGCGGGTTTGGTTCGGACGCGATCAACATCGAGTGTAACATTAACGACGTGTTGTGCTCGCAGGAAGGGAAGCTTCAAGAAGCCATTGACAACCTTCTGTCTCTCGAGAAGCAAACGCGAACCGTAAGTGCTGAGTGTCATGAATTATAGTTATGACATGTGTGAAATTCCATACATCTTGTCAAGTCTTAACATCTTAAGGGGTCTTAGATTGTCGTTTATGTGCAAAAAATCACTTGATGTGTTTTATGTTCCTAAACACAATAATTACTTGTCACCATACAGCTTTTCAGCCCCTCCCTTTTTAAAATATTGTTTTAAAAGTTAGCCCCTTCGACAAGCGCTCAAGATGTACATGCATGTTGTATAAAGTATTACGATGTCGCATTTAGATATTTCAGATACATATTGTATTAAATGCACCTTAAAGTGATGTATAGTAATTTCTGATTGTTTCCATGCTCATGTGATGTTTGGATGGTGTTGAACTCACATAAATGCATAAAGTGTCATTGTAATCTTGTGTTTACCTGCTGAGTCGCCTTGACTTATCAGTCCTTCCTAATGTTAAATGAAGGCTGATCATAACTTGATTTAATTGAAGTTAAAATGTGTGTACACCTTGATTGTTGGTTTGTGTGCAGGCCAGTGATATGGTGTCCACCTCACGGATTCTGGTAGGGATCGTACAGATCTGTTTTGAAGCCAAAGATTGGGATGCCCTCAATGAAAACATCATCATCATGACAAAACGGAGAAGCCAACTCAAACAGGTTACAATCTGAATTGCTGAAATGTTGCCGGGCACTTGGTGTTATTTGTTAAAGTTGTCAGATTGCTTGTAGTGTTGCAGCTTCACACTAATGGGACACGCGCTGTTCATGTTATTTAACAGGCGGTGGCAAAAATGGTGCAACAGTGCTGCGAATATGTGGAAAAAACACCGGATCTGCAAACCAAACTCAAACTTATCGACACACTAAGGACCGTCACTGCTGGCAAGGTGTGTAAACCATTGAAATATTTAAGTTGCATGTAAGCTTGACAGACCATCAGACAAGTGGTAGTGTTGTTATCCCATGATATTAAAACATTTTATTTTATCATTGCCCTGGTCAAAGTGCTTTATTTAGTATGCCTATTTTTTTGTTGACAGATCTATGTGGAGATTGAACGTGCAAGATTGACAAGAATTTTGGCTAAATTCAAGGAAGAGAAGGGGGAACTGGTAGAGGCTTCAAATATCCTACAAGAACTGCAGGTCTGTGGACCCTTATTTAAAATGTGCAAGCCTCTTTATTGCATTCAAATGCAACTATTTTGAGATTACATGATGAGATTTGCGGACGCTGACATTTGTGTGTTATGTTGAGTAGGTGGAGACATTTGGATCCATGGAAAAGAAAGAAAAGGTCGAGTTCATTTTGGAGCAGATGCGCCTTTGCCTGGCAGTGAAGGACTACATCCGCACTCAGATCATTAGCAAGAAGATCAACACGAAATTTTTCCAGGAGGAAAACACAGAGGTAACATTTTGACTTTTATGATTTGGAGCTATTGCTTGTCATATGAAGCTCCAACTGGACTTGTGACCTAATAATGATGCTTTTTTTGTTTTCAGGAGTTGAAGCTGAAATATTATGACCTGATGATTCAACTCGATCAGCATGAAGGCTCCTACCTGTCCATTTGCAAGCACTACCGTGCCATTTACGACACGCCTTGCATTCAAGCAGAGAGAGCAAAGTGGCAGCAGGTGACTTGTCACTCATTTATCAGTTTGTTTTGTAATAACCAGAGCCGTAATCGTCCGGACGTTTGAGCCGTGTCTGGTTTAAACACGTATACATGTTTTACACTTCATTGCTTGAGCCCTTAATATATGTTTAGGAATATTTCCGAAAGCACTCTTAATTTTGAATTTTCAAAGTTAATTTTAAGAGCAGATCTACGAAAGGAAAGCAATTGGCTCATAAAAGAGCTATGTGTTACCTCAACCATTTAAAACAATAAAATACCGATTGTATATTGTACGAAATAACATTGCTTTGGTATGCAGTCAAAAACAAGATTGCATAAAAATCACGAAATTCAATAAGACTCCACTTGATATTTAACCATAATAGAATGTCCAATAATCAGTATGAAGCTTAATGACACATCTGTTTTAAGCACAAATGCTACAAGTTGAATATAAGACAGTAATGAGCTGTAATTATCAGGGGGGAATTTATATAATTTTTCATACCATCATGAATCCACGATTTCATAACTTCATGGCAGGTTATGAAGAGTGCCATTCTGTACGTGGTGCTGGCTGCCTATGACAATGAACAGTCGGACCTGGTGCACCGCGTTAACCAGGACAAGAAGCTGGAGGAACTTCCCAAATACAGGTACCTATGTGAACTATAACAAAAAAGTATGTATATAACATTGTCTTCAATAGATGTATATAGCGCCTTAGTCCAAGGCGCTGGTAAAGTATGATCAAACAACTCCCATGACCCAGAGAGAGTAGGAAGACTATCATCCAGATGTGGATTGACAAAAGGATTGTAGGTATTAATGTACTTAAGTATTGTTTTATGCCTTCGATTAGTATCCAAATAAACCCACAGAAATGTGTCTTGACATGCAATAGTATGGTATAGGAGCACATAAAATCACAGGTGTTACTATTCTTTAGTACGGGGATATAAAATAGAACTTCGATTTATTTCCATGCAAGTAATTTGCCTTTAGATGGGCATTTTACCACTCCCTGGTCTGACGTAATTCAAAATTCTCATCCCACACACGTGCTTGTGTTATATCTGGAACAATTTTATGTAATTTTCATCTCGCGGTTTTAAAAGCGCCTCCCTTTTGGCAGAGTTTAGCATCTGCGCTCTTCTCGCAGGGAGATACTGAAGCTGTTTACCACATCGGAGCTGATGCACTGGGGCACCCTGGTGGAGAAGTACGGCAAAGACCTGCGCAAGGGCACAGCCGACAACCCGGCGACTGATGTGTTCTCCTACTCTCAGGAGGGCGAGAAGCGGTGGCAAGTCCTTAAGAACAGGGTGGTGGAGCATGTGAGTACACATTGTATTCACCGAGGGCAGGGATCAGCGGCATTATGGCTCTTGAAATAGAGTTTTTTTTACCGAATTCGGAAAAAATAGCTCTTGTTATTTTGGTTGCCAACCCCTGACCTAGGGGGTCATACCTTGAATGTAATCTCCCAGAATATGTCCCAATCTCATCGGATTTTGGAAATTAGCCAAGGTTGAGCAAATTAGTGTTTGAATAGCTGACCACCAAGAGCAAAAGATGGGTGTAATAGGCATTGTGGGCAGTAGACGACAGTGCAGAGCAATAGTTCACCAGCATGCACTCACCAACTTGGTGAAGTATGGTAAAATATCCAAGGCCATTGGACATCTTCATCCAGCAGTGAATTGACAACACCAAACCTCTACGTGTACACACATTGAATTGACCTTGCGGTTTGTGATATAGGTTCGCAATGGTTCTCATGATTTTAAATTGTTTAGTGTTCGTGAATAAGATCATCAAAATTAAACAGTAAGAAAACAGTGCTAGTCCCAAAAGTTTGGTAATGCATTTCAAACAGGGTTGTAATTACAGTTGAACTATGTGGTGGATAAAACACAACTTAAAATATAAAATCATTTTAAAATACCTTTCAGTAAAGTATTCTCAGCATTCAATCAGGATTTAATCGTGGTTTTAAAGGTGCTGTATTTGCATACGTAGAGCTCCATCTTCTGTCAGCTTATTGCAAGGGTAGACAACTACAGTTTACTCTGCAACATGTACCCACTCGGTGGCAGACATACAGTAAAAGAGTTTATATATATAAAAAATAAATTTGGCTTAGCTTTCCTTCATAAACTCTTTACTGCTAGTACATAAAATGTGTGAAAAACGCATCATGTAGTTTACTCATAATCATCGTCCATTGTCTAATTTCTGAATGGAGGCCTGTCCATGCCACCGCATCTGTCACTGTCCTGCAAACCCATTGCTTACCGGTTAAATTATTCCGTGTGAGTAAACCATCAGTCAAAACAGTTGATGTTAAATCCGCTTTTGTTTTCAGAATATCCGAGTGATGGCCAAGTACTACACCAGGATCAGCATGCAGAGGATGGCAGAATTGCTCGACCTGTCCATTGATGTAAGATTCGATCTTTGGGAATACCTTCCCATGGTTCAGTAGTGACTGCCTTCAAGAACAAGGGACACCTGGATTGTAATCCAGCCTTATATTTTAATATCCCCCAATTATTTAATTTATAGTAACCTTGTGTATGTGTAATATATATAAAGTAGCACCAGGTGTAATGGCACCCATATGTTATTTATATTGATGGGGTAAAGTGAGAGTACTCCCACCTCTTCCCATATATATGGCCAGTGTGAAAGAGTAAGCCAACACTGTCTAGAGCCTACTGCAGTGAAGGCCCTTCCACCAGCAGTGGCGTAAGCAAGTTATTGCAGGGTTGCATCTTTATCCTTTATATTTAAACCAAAAGCACGACTTTGCTTGGCTTGTGCTCTGTCCGTAGGAATCGGAGGAGTTCCTGTCCAGGTTGGTGGTGAGCAAGACTGTGTTTGCCAAAGTGGACCGGCTGGCTGGTGTCATCAACTTCCAGAGGCCCAAAGACCCCAACGACCTGCTTAATGACTGGTCCCACAAGCTCAACGCCCTCATGGCCCTAGTCAATAAGACAACGCATCTTATTGCCAAGGAGGAGATGATCCACAACCTACAATAGATTGGTCTGGGGGAGTAGGGAATAACAGCAGGAGTAAGCAGGGGCGGGGTTGAAACAGTGTGGGTGGGTGACTTGGAGAATTCCTCCAGATTTGACAGCTCAATGAGGATTAGCATTGTGCCAGCTCAGAGTTTCCGGAGTGACCACAGTAGGTACTTTAGATGGTTTAGGGAGTTTTCAGTGGAACCTAATTAAATCCATCGAGCATGCCTGACGTCAGCACTCCAGGAAACCCTGGCTGACTCATTCTGCCTATTAAAACTCCCCACCCCCTCATGCTGTTTGCCAATCGTAAGCAGAATAAACGACACAGCATGTCTGCTTTTGGTGGGCAGACAATAGAAATTTATGACAGCAGCATTGATAGAAAACGTGGAGTTAGTATTTGTACCTGAAACCTCACACAGTTGATTGCAAAATGTACAGAACTCTTCAGAATACACATAAATTACACGTGAACATATTTGTTCAGCGTGCATTTTTAAATGTAGGTTCTTAGTTATGTGTTTTAGACAAATCTGAATGGGACGAGCCTCAGTAGAAAATTATAGTTTTTGGGTGAAAAATCAACATCGACCCAGAGCTTTAGATGGTATTTTGTACACCACAGGAATATTGCTTAGGTGGGTGCATAAATATAAACTGTATAGCAGTACCTTGTTAGACCGCATCCTGCAAATGTATTCATGAATATAAATCTACTGGGGGTTCTGGTTTAAGTGAGCAAAGATGTCTCCAATTTACATTTTGTGAAAACACTGGTACATTCTTTCTCCCTGGTGGGATTGTACGGTCTCTTGAGCTGGGTAGGTGAAATTGAGTGACATCTCGCAGTTAAGATACACCGTGTGGTAGATTGTGGTCTAAACACTTGTATGGAACACAATGGGTTGTTTTGAAGAAAGCATACGATGGGACTTCAGAAAACACTTCACCCATGACCATCATGAAGTTGCCATTGTTTGGCCGAATCTTGGTTATTCGGTGCTAAATTGTAACCTGAAGCAGTGAGGTTGTGTTTGTAGCCTGCAGTACTGCCCCTGCTGATCCGTGCTCGTGTGTTGTGCAAAGTCGAAAATCAACTGTATAAACGTTAAGCAAGACGTTTTGATGTCTGTTATTTTTACGTTTGTTTTTTGTTGGGAAAATTTTTTGGCAAGACAATAAAAACACACGAATGTGTCTTTGTACGAGACTAGTCTTATAGTTGCGATGTATATTTTTGTATTTACCGCATTGAAAAGACTCATCAGTTCATATTACAGTATTTCCCTTTCCAATGTTAACGTTTAACGTGGGGAATAATGGGTTATAAAAAAGGGTGTGTTTGAGGGAGTGGAGGAGGAAAGCTCAAAACCCGTTCTCAATCAAACGGGGCTCTTATGAGAACTGGTCACGCAAGACGACCCTACCAAATGATTACCTTCTGGAGTGGCTGAGGTGAGAAGTAGAATGTTTAACTTAGGATGATATTCACCATTCCGTTTTAATTCGCCTACCCACGATTATAAATTACCTGATATAGTCAGTTTGCCGCTTTTTTAAAGTAACATTTTGTGAATACCTTTCATTTGATACTCGTGGGTCTTCAGGTGAGAGAGAAATCTGCCGAGGCAAGGTCTTATAAAACGATTGCTTGTGTTGCGATCGAAACGTCGCGATCTATCATTTTCTATTTACGTAACTACCGAAAGACCCAAGAGTGTGAATTCCTGCAGTCACGAAAGCTTTAAATCACCTTTCACTTGAGCTTTCTGAAATAATTTAATAAAACATGCTCATGTGTGTGGAATCCCGATGTTATAGCAGAGCGGTGATAAGATAAAGTGAATCATTTAGTCGGCAGCTGTGCTACTGCACACACTGGCTCGGGCGCGCCTCTTGCCTGTGCAGACAGCGCTGCGTCTCGTGCCGTGTGATTCACTTAACGAAGACCTAAAGGACAACGCGAAACGATCGCAATCGGGAAGCCGCAGAGCGGTGGCAGGCAGCAGACATTGAGCGATTTGGCGGTGGCGGCGTTCGTGTGCTCTGGCCACAATCCATTGTCTTGAAAGGGGCACTGCGGGCTTAGGCGTTCCGTGTACGCGATCATCCCCACACATCTGCATCGGACGAGTGCATGGTGAGTGCGCCGGCCTGCACGCGCATACTGCTTGCTTCTTACGACGGGGCCGCTGGCTTTCTTTTCACCGTGCACAGCCGACCATCAGGCCACACCGCCAAGTGGTAGGCGGAGGCCGCGATCGGTGTGCGCTGTGGAGTTATGGTGTTGCCGTGTGTGTGTGAGAGACGGGGGTTGTGATGGTGGGGACGGTGCTCGTATTGCGCTGCGTGATGGTGTCGTGGCACGCATTGTCTTAGCAGCACCGTGCGGCGACAACATGGCCCGTTTTCTAATACATTATCATCAGGAGCAGCCATGGTCAATCCAAGCTTGGACATGGAACAGCAATGGATTAAGCTGCACTAGCCTCTGCTGTTGTCATTAAATTACAATGCGGCAGCTAACGATAATGGTGGAATTCCGTTTCGTTGAATGCATGCGAGTGGCGCTGCTTTGCGCTATAGCATGCAAGGGGGCGTTTGAATGAGATGTACTGCAGGTAGCCTGCATACTGTGTATGGTTTATGCCTTGTTACATGTTAGTATACATCATATGCATATTCAACGCATGCTGCATTATGCATATATATGCTACATTATATATGCATTATATATAATGCATTATATATACATATATAATGTAGCATTTATGGATTGTATACACTCTTAGCATGTATATACTGTAGCATGCTATATGTATACACAACGCATTCTGCAGTCGAAACATGGCCTCTAGACAGTGGGAATACGTGAAATAAAATAGGCTACGTGCAGTGAATTCTCATTACAGATTAGATTATGGTGGGCGAGAAGTCCTTATAGCCTGTAATCTCTGAGTCCATTGTAACTTGTGAAAGAGTACAGATCTTCTCAGTCAGTCTACTACAGCAGATGTGTAGGGAATTCCAATAGGACCTACATCTCTGCATTTTTGACCTAGTCAAGGCCTATAATACAATCAATAGACCAGGGCTCTGGGGTATTCTTCGTGCTTTTGGAGTCCCTAATTATATGCTCACAATCATTAAGGACATTAATGATGTTGAGCTGACCCAGGTAAATCTGCGTGCCTGGTAGTCGGAGCCATTTTCTGTTCACCTTGGTGTGCGACAGGGATGTCCTGTGGCCCCTACACTATTTAACATCTTCTTTGACCATGTAGTTCAATAAGCTTTCCGTGACTGTACCGGAAATATTTTCTACTTGGTACAGATATATGGAAGGTTGATCGATGCCCGGGTGCAGTCAATTCATGGCTTTCTATTGGCCCACCATGTGTACGCTATGTCTGGTGATCGCTGCTCACTGAGAAGGAACTGGAGACCGTGCTGTTGAACCTGGAGCGAGCTACTAGGATGGAGCCTCACTACCAGTCCCATCAAAACAAAGTACAGTACCTGCCTGGGTCATTTGTGTAATTGAATGCCCCACCACCTCTGCTCCCCATGAGTGATGGGGCAGTTGTGCTGAGAGTGGAGACGTTTCCATACCTGGGCGCAGTGTGCTTTTGACCAACTCCGGTTTGAGAGCAGAAGTCTCAACTTCGAATCATTTCAGCGGCGAAAATTTTTCATCAGCTGCGTAACGCTGTTTGGAAGCTATCTGGTCTATCACTCCATACGAAGCTCCGGGTCTTCTCGGCCACATTTATAACTTACTCTATGTTTGCAAAACGTCGAGCCCTTTTAAATTAACATCTGCGCCAGTTTTAAACATTCAGGATGCCCTGCCTACGATCCGTCCTGGGTTTAACCAGACTGAATTGTGTGAAGAGCTTACAGATCTTTGAAGGACCTGGACAAAGTGCCATCAGTGAGCTCCTCCGGCAGGCAAGGCTGAGTTGGCTGGGTCATGTAGCCTGCATGCCCAGCCACCGCATGCCTAAACAGCTTGTGTTTGACCGGATAGAGGGAGCTAAACGGACGCGGCTCGGGTTAAAGAGGAGATGGATTGATGTGATAGAGAAGGATGTGGAGCTGGATAGAGACTTGCCGATCACTTATGCCAGTGGTGTAGAAGAGACTTATTAAGGACGCTACTCGACAGTTGGAGGCAGTCGCCATCTAACAACGGAGAGCATAGAAGCGGCGCTCACAACAACCAGGCGGACCGCCGGGTGGATAAAATGCAACAAGTCGGCGCAGTAGGGAGCACAGGTGGTGCATCTGCCAGCCATCTTACTCAGGCAACCTATGTGCGCACGTGGGTCTGTCCCGTGATCTCCTGTCAGCGAGCCTTCAACAACTTCACGTGGCCCAAAGTACACCTTGCCTGACACCCGCTTACTATTAAAGTACTGTATGCACAGACAATTTCAACCGAGAAGATGGGTACAAACGGAGCAATCATTGGAAGGACATTATTAACCAGTTTAAGTCATAACTGACTGTGTTTTCATCCTACCTTCTGATGTTCGTAGTTATTTTAGACTCTGATTTTTAACATTAACAGTTTAAATATCTCACACTAACACAGCCACCGTCGCTCGATGTGGGGGTGGCTCTGCGATCTTACATTGACATGCAAATTTATCACTTTAACATCACTAGCCCGGCCCACTTCGTTTATGACCCTTGGGCTATACCCATTTCACACCTTTAAAACAGCCTGCTTCAGAAGCTTCCCCCCTCTTTTTTCTCCTGATGACGATTGCTTGTGTTGCAATCGAAACGTCGTAGTTTTTTGTAAACAAGAAATTGTTTCTACGCGACTTTACCGAAAGACCCAAAGAATACAGTATTATATTTGTCACACTCTGTAACGCGCGCTCAGCTATCCAGTACGTATGGGTCTTTTTCAGAAGCGACCTGGCCACAATGATATCTAGTGGTGAATGGCAGTTACTGTATTATAATCTACCCGGACACCATGCATAATATAGTACCGTGTTTTGGGGAAGCCTTCATCCAGCAGTGGATGGATCATGGCTGATGATGATGCCGGCTTCAGTGCCACGCTTATCGGCTGTGTGCTGTGCAGCATCCACACGCAGTGTGCATGGCCATGCGTGCAGTGTTCACACGCACTGTGCACGCATGATTTTATTTTGTTCGCGTTGCTATTCCCATTGTGTGGAGACCGCCAGTTACGAGCGAGATTATGTTTGTAATTAAATAAAACCGAGATCAGAGGGGGTCTGATTGATAACTAATGGTACAGATATATCTGAAAAAGATTAAGTAGAATAATACGAATGTAATGCCACGGCTTTGTTGGATGGTCGGGCGATGTTCACATGGAACGTGTGTGACTAGACATCACAGCTGCTATGGGTATCGAAGTCGATTTCTAAATCGATGTTGGTATTCATATCCCGGACATCGATTAGCTTCCTCGACGATTACATTAATTGTATTCGATAAAAAAACGATTCGTTATTCGTCTCATTTGTACTTCTTATTTGTATTGTATATCTTAGTTTTTATTTGTATTGTATATCTTAGTTCTTATTTGTATTGTATATCTTAGTTTTTACGGACTCGTCCTGGTACGTCTGTCTCGTTTGTTCTCTGTCTGGACTGAATGGGGCCCCGTTGGTGTTGACTCGTTCTAACTCCGTCTGTAGGCTGTCTCATTTCTGTCTCATTCGATTTATCCCAAGAGCTTAAAAGGTAACATGCGCTCACGAAACGTCGTGAGAATGTTGTTATTTTATTATTTTATTCTCATTCTACGTGACTTTACCGAAAGAACCAAAGAACATGCGCATCTAATTTTCATAATTATTGCATTCGCGCTTCGATGCGTGTGTAGGGAAGTTCCAGGACACCGGTAAAGTCTCTCGCCGCCGTTTTTTATATAGACACGAACCGAATGGCCCCGATTTGCTCGAAATGTCTCTTTATATAAACATAATCGGCAGCTGTCGTTGTAGTGAACACCAGTGGCGAGTAATAATACCTCAACCGGTGCTGGGCCTCCACCTTCAACAATCTCCACCGACCAGCGTCGTGAAGTATTATGATCAAATAACCCCCCACGACCCACACGGCGTGGGGAGATCCTCAATCAGCAGTGGATTGACAACGATGACCTACGTGGGATGTAATATTGAGACCGCCACCAAAGACAAGGATCCCCTGCAAAGC